AGATCACTGATAGGGTTACATTTCAATAGAGTGGTGGACCAGATAATAATGTGACAAGATAATTGAATTTCTCAATGTTTTTTAGAGACATGAACCAAACTCTTGAAAATGTCTATGAAGGTTTTCCACTATTTGAGATTTCCATCAAATTTCACTAGTTCAATTTTTGGTAACTCAACATGATTGTTGTTAGCTACTACATTATGAGCAAGATTTTTGACACCAAATAATTCATCATGAATAGATTTTACCTTATAATAATCATGATAGAATACCTGCAATAACGCTTTATGTTCATTATTATTATAATTTTCAACGGTAATCATAAAGCAAAATGAGGGCAGCATTATGATTTTCAAAATCGTGATAAATAGACTCTGAATGGGAATATCTGGCTTTAAATTGGGAGTGAATGTCACGGGAAGTTTCAGCCAAATTAGCAATTGCACACAAATCGGCCATGCGGTCCATACATATTTGACTTAATCTTTTCAAAATATGAAAACACCAGATATTGAAAATACATAAAATTTAATTTTTTTTAAGTCTACTATATATCGTGCAATCCTGGTATAGTATTTTCAATACCAATTTGAAAAGCACAGATGAGGAATTCCCGCCTCGACATAGGCTTTGGCATATTATTTTTCAGTGGTAGTCTTTCAGTTACTTATTCTTACAATCATAGCAATTGATCACCCCATGATAAAGGTAACTCAACTGAATTTTTCCACCATGGGTAATTAGGAAAAATTTCGAAATTCAAGGTAGTTGATTTCCGAGTGGAAAACTCTAAAATACAATGAAAACACAAATAATCACACCGAATTCTCGTTAAACATATATTTACGAAATGATAGACGCCAACAAAATTGCTAGAAAAACCAAAATTCTTCTTCGCTATATTAGGATGAGGTGGAATCATCATCGGGTTGAAAAATAATCGGATTTATAGAACTTTGCACATAACATTTATTCTCTTCTTTTATACCGTGGGCCACACAGTTCTTCCACACATCACTATTACCTACTTCATTCACCACCCGCCTTATATTGTCAAGCACTACAGCATTCAAAATCGGTGACTGATTACATTTCCGCAGGCTCTTTTTCATTGTGGCCCAAACCAATTAATTTTTAATCTAGTGTTGACAAATTAATTTGCAGGTAGTGGTTCCACTAGTTAATTACCAAAAAATCAGTTAAGATAATCGAGATTTAACAAACAAAGTCCACATCGGACCAAAAAACTTTAGGTATATAAACAGCTAACCCTTGTCTTTAGATTCAGTATCTATTTGCTTCTCCTGAAGATGCTAACCTTGTTAGCGAAACGCGCGTCGAGTGCAAAAATATCAGTTTGGTTTTAGGGTAACTGATCTCTAGAAAAAGTTTTCAGAAATCGGTTTGCAAAACCACTCACTACCTCACCTAACCCCACAAATACACCGCACTGATAAAGAAATATTGTGAAATGGACAAAAAATCAGTATACAGCAAGTCCAGCTAGCCGAGACTTTATTCTTCAACTACATTTGATAGCACGTTTACTAACTATCTGGGCGACTAGGGGCCACAGGCAAAAAATGTTTATGACTGTACTCTTATTTTTATTGCCTTTCCAATTGGGAATGGATAGACTACACATTTAACGATTGACTAAATAATTGACCAATAAAAAAAAGTTTCCAGCAAACCCAGACAAAAAAGGTTCGAGAAACAAATCGTCGTTATTGGAAATGAACTAATTACGAATATAACAAAACCTGGGAACGCTGTTCAATAACTAAGTAACTTTGGGTATAAAATATGACCTTAAATAAGAGGCAAAAAATAATCTCGTGCTTGGCATACGAAAGTGGATGGGAGCATGCTAGCTAATGGTTATATATAATCTGAAATAGAGCCATGTTTATATATAAAATGTGCTGGAAGCACTAAAACCATCGTGACATTATATGTTGATGATTTCTTCGTATTCTCAAATGACAGAAATGAAACTGACAATCTTAAAAGAATGCTTGATCAAGAATTTTGTGTTAAAAGACTTAGGAATTGTCATGTCATTCATGTCAGTTGTTTTTGATAAACAAAATTATACTGTAACTTTGAATCAAGAGAAATATATTAATAAATTGTTATCTAAGTTCAACATGAATGATTGTAACACAGTGAATACTCCAATGGAGCTTATCGGGAGCTTGATGTATTTAGTTGTCCTTGCACGACCCGATATAGCTAATGCAGTGTCGTATTTAAGTCAGTTTAATAATTGTATTACTGAACAACAATGGGTTTATGCCAAAAGAATTTTAAGATAAAGGGACAAAAAATTTAGGTTTGAAATATAGTAAGGGTGGAAATATAAATATTCAAAGTTATGTTGATGCAGACTGGTGCAATGATCTTAATCATAAAAAAATTCAGGGTTTTGTTATACTTTGTCTGGGTCTGTTATGTCTTGTTATGTCTGGGTCTGTTATGTCTTGGAGTAGTACAGAATCTGAATATGTATCTATATCAGAAGCTTGCAAAGAGGCAGTTTATTTGAGAAGTTTACAGTTTGAAATAACTGAAAGAATGTATAAGATTACTTTGTATAATGATAGTATGAGTGCAAAAAAATTATTGTTAAACCATATATTCCAATCTTATGATGCGAATAACGATTTTGTGTTGGGAAAAAACTCCAGTAATATTCATATATTCCATAATAAAACCAAGCATATCGATGTCAAATATCACTATCTATGTATTTTCTATAATAAAAGCTTTGTTACAAAGTTAAGTTGTTCTCTTGTTCTTGCACACAAACACAAAATTATTTGTTTTGAATTTTTCATTTATATAATGTTCACCAAAATATCTTTCACATGTATATAATGCATAAATCTGTGTAAATTATTATTACTATATTGCTATAACATGGCAGGTTGGCTGTCCTTGTTCATCTTTCACTGCCTGAACCACTGTGCATGCTGTTTGCGGCGAGTGCCTTGGCTTGGGATGTAAGGGTTGAGCAAAAGGGCCATCAGATGCCTACTTCCACGTAGGACAGAGTGAACTCGAAAATTCTTTCTGACGCTGAGTCTATAGAGGAGATGGATGTCGAGCTTACGACTCCAACTGATCTCCATGTAAATTTAGATCAGGAGCGAGTCTACAGAGGAAATGGATGTCGAGTTTACGACTCCAACTGATCTCCCTGTAAATTTAATTCAGGATCAAGTCTACAGAGGAGATGGATGTCGAGTTTACGACTCCAACGGACCTCCTGTAAATTTAGTTCAGAAGCAAGTCTACAGAGGAGATGGATGTCGAGTTTACGACTCCAACGGACCTCCCTGTAAATTTAGTTCAGGAGCGAGTCTACAGAGGAGATGGATGTCGAGGTTACGACTCCAACTGACCTTCCTATGAATTTACTTCAGGAGAGAAAGCTTCTCAACTCCCTAACTCCTGATTCAACAACTGAACCTTGAAAAAAAGGTTTGGTAGTACAGCCAGGAAACGAATGAGTCGTCTCCTGAAGAGCGAGGTACCTTATTAAACCGCCTTGTACCAAATTCTTGAGCGGGGTTTCTCAGAATCTGTCTCAGGTGGGGGAACAAACCCCCCATGAGCATGTTCGCAAACGTTTGCGCTCAAGTGATGATTCACCAAAACCAGAGGCGAAAATCCCTGCACGGCTGAATCAAAAGCATCGCCAATTGTAGCTGACGTGCAAAAACCCTCATATGGGAAGGTTGTCGTGAGTATTAAGGTGGGAAACTTGCAACTTGACTATCCGACTACCTCAAGAAGCTGGATTTATGTGGCCGAGTGTGAATAGGTGTGAGCCACAATAAACCCTTGCGGGTTGTGGTGAGGGTCGAGTAGACCCACTCACTTGTGATCTAACCTATAACATATATCAAAGTGTGTTTCTGAAAAATGGATGTGAGTTGTACCTAACTGTAAGTGTCAAATATAAGCAATAGAAAGCAGAAACTCGATTCACTCGTTCAAAAAAATTACGGAATTGTATATTATTCAAAAATGGGTCACGACTCAAAACGTGTGAATTATGCGCATCCACCACGAATGATACAGTTGATGTTAAAATTAATGAATACAAATACTAGATGGATACAAAAACTGCTGCAACTGATATAGAGGAAAATGAAATACCCGAATTGAGGAATTGCAGAAGAAATTACATTTTTTGAAGACAATCGGTAGATTGACAATACTGAGAATATCCCCGAGATAATTCATGGAGTTAAATTTAGTTTCAAAAATTATGCTGTGACTATTGAGAAACCAAAAATTTTAACAAGGCTTTTCGCGATGATCTGTTGCGTAGCTACGGTTTGGTATCGACCGCCAAATGATAAATCACTTTTTGTCTCTTCAGCTTTCACTGCAAGGCGACTAGATGGGCTCTGCTTTCAACCAATAAATTTTCTTCCGACTCTAGTCTAGATTATTCAACATATTGAGAGTTGTAAGTCAATAAACTTGGGAATTAGGATATTTCAGCCTTATACTTTTGACATTTACATACATCACATAACGTTCAAAGTTTATCTAAAGGAAAATAATTATTTGTTGGTATTCGAAGATTCTCTAACCAGTTTCACCACGTATGAAATTTGAAACCCGTAAATGAAGATCATGATGGGTAAACCTCTTTTGAAGAAAAGAAATATCGTGAATCAACATCCGGATTGGCAACCCACAAAAATTAAAATTTCAAGGTACTCTGGGTTATAAATTTGACAAATCATTAGAAAGGTTTCTGACATTTCCTTGATCCAAGTGCAACGAATCATTAGAAATGTTTTTGACATTTCCGTGATCCAAGTGCAACAGGTAGGAATATATTTCACCTCAATGGATGATATCAGTTTTTTTATTACTAGTATATTATATTTATTGTCAGATCATAATGGAGTATCTATTTTTATACAGCAAATTTCAACTCATCAGGATATATGAAAAATATATGAGCAACTTACCTTAGCTAAAGTAAATCCTAAGCATACCAAGAAAAATATTGTCATTCGCAGATTCATCCTGAAAAATAACATATAATGTTTTGGTGTTCCAATAAGAAAAAAATCACAATCTAAAAGTATCATTCCTGAAAACAAACAATTGTTTATGCAGCAACAATGCAGTGAGTTGCAATGGAGAGTTTTCATTCTGAATATTTCTTATCTTGATAATTTTTCAAGTATTTCTTTTCTTAGGTTAGAGTCAAATATTTCATAGTGTTCTCCATATGAAAGAAGGGAATAAACAAATCATGAAAATGGATATATCACTTTCAAAATACACATAAATATATTTTAACTCCGACTATTGAAAAAACATCAATCATGTAACTGTTTTCTGTTGAGTTAGTAGCCAAAATGGCACATAACTCACACCTCTGAACCAATCTTACTACCTTGAGGCAAATCGCAAATGAGCAAATTCATAACTCCACAGTTATGTTTCAATTATTTCCATTCGCAAAGTGAACTAAGAATTTACTCACTCCAAAATTGTTCGCAAACGATTCGGAAAATGAAAACTGCTGTGCCCCTTCTGAAATTAGTACCTAATGTGGTGAAATTAACGACTGTTATTTAATCTGTTACCAAATAAATCAAGAAAAAAAATATAAATCTTCATATCCAATTTTTATGAATTGGCGAAAAAACAAGAATATAAATTTGATTTCGGAAAATTTATTTCCAGCATATTTTTCGAATTGCCTGAAAAATATCATCCTAGCTTTGGACACAATACCCAATACATTTTTCTGTCTACCCAGCCTCTTTGCTGTCTGGATCGGATCCTTCCTGCACTAATAAGAGGTAATACCTCGAAACCAGTCTGTAGGTAATCTACTCGAATAATTTCAGCATGATTCTGCTGCTGACTAAACGAGAAACAATCTGCGAGACAAACCTCTGTGGGGTATCTTGCATAAATGTCTGTCGGATATAATTCAATATTCAGCGTGGTGTTAACGGGGAAGTAGTTGTTGTACCAAAACCTACTGTGTAGGTAGTTGGAAGAGATTAATGTTTCTAAATTTCATTTCGATGTACAATGTACATCAACCATGACAGTAATATAGAACAAAAAAATATAAATCTTCATATCCAATTTTTATGAATTGGCGAAAAAAACAAGAATGTAAATTTGATTTCGGAAAATTTATTTCCAGCATATTTTTAGAATTGCCTGAAAAATATCATCCTCACTTTGGACACAATACCCAATGCATTTTTCTGTCTACCCAGCCTCTTTGCTGTCTGGATCGGATCCTTCTTGCAGTGATAAGAGGTAATACCTCGAAACCAGTCTGTAGGTAATCTACTCGAATAATTTCAGCATGATTCTGCTGCTGAATAAACGAGAAACTATCTGCGAGACAAACCTCTGTGTGGTATCTTGCATAAATGTCTGTCGGATATAATTCAATATTCAGCGTGGTGACTGACCTGACCAAATGGACCTTACGACAAAGGTAAGAAATTGTTAATTTTTAAAAGTTCGCCACTAGATAATAAAATGAGAGTTTTTGGAAATTCAGACAAATTGATGTCACCAAAATTAATGGGGTAGTCGACGTGAAGTCGTACTTGAATATGAAAATTAAAAAGTTTTGCGTTGAAATTTGATATGTATGATCAAATTTGATTTCTAAGCAATTTTTCGAGTAACATATTTGTTTCTCCAACGCGAAGCAAAATACACCAGAAATGTTATATAAGAATAATCAAAAACTCCTCTGCACCAACTGAGTGTTCTCCTAAAACATGAGACAATCAAATTCGATGAAACAAAAATTTTGTTTTCAGAAAGTAACATATCCAAAAGGCGTTTCCCCGAAATGAAAGAAATCAATGTTTTACCAAAAGGTATGAGGAAAAAGCAGTTTTTGAACATATAGGTACCATTCATAGTTATCTATTAGAGGAAAGTCAATTTCTTTGATTCATGTTGAATGAAATGAAATCACATCGAGTGAAATCATGAATCTTTTTCACTCTTCCCCTCCCTCTTCTCATTATAAGTAGCTTAGAAAATCATAAAGTCAAATATACTAGAAGATTTGACGTTATTGTCATATTCTGTACAATATTTTGTTATTATCAGGTATGAAGTACATGTTCTCAATTCACGTGTGTAACATTTTTAAGATTGTTTCTACTATGTTTATTAAAAGCGTCCTGAATAAGTCTTATTGTTAAGACGAAAGCTTGACGTATTGTGAATATAAAGTCATTTTCTTCCTTTTACATGATAGCTCTAGTTGAAAATCCCATCTATTGTTGGGGAAAAGTTTAATTAAACTATGGAAAAGGCGGAATTTTCTTATAGTTGATTTATCTATCACCTTCGCGCTGATTTAAATTCAAATTTCACTTATATACCTCAAACGAGATGGCTCACTCCTTCAAATATCTACTCTTTCATAAACACAATATTCTTGATAATAATTCATGGACTATAAACAAATAGGTACTACTTTACCACATAAAGTTTGTGCTGATACTTGCCACGGAGAGAGTTCTTCACTGCTGTTACATCTTGTAAGTGGCGTTGTTCCACCCCGAGGAACGTCTCTCCGGCATCCAAAAGTTGTAGGATGCATCCATCTACGAGCTGCACATTCTGTCTGTAGTCCTCGCATCGTTCTCTTTTGAGACGGACCATTGCACATTTGTCTATCCCAAATTTCATATCGATAGCATGCGTGTACTCTTATCATCATCATTATTATTATTCATTATATCAATAACTTTCTTGTCACAGCTACAGGTTGGATATGGAGGTGTCATCCGAGAAGTAAAATCCTCCTAAATGACTCTTCATTCTAAGGTCTACTCAGTATCCCAAGTAATACAAGAAGATCCATTTGATGAACTATGAATATACATTAAATTTGAAGGGTATTTTTTAAAATAGAATGATTTTTGGTAACGAAAGATTTTGGCTTTCTACTTCTACATCTTCATACGAAATATATGATAAAATCATTCAAAGAAAAGGAGAAAGGAAATGCTGTCGAAATAAACACTTCTCTAAGATGTGTAGATCATGCAAAAAAGTATTTTTCAGACACAAACTGGAAAAAACCTTTTTGAAACAAGTACTTTTATATAAACATTGAATACCATGAAAGAAAAAATACTTTAAAACAACTAATTTTATATGAACATGGAATTATACAAGTATACATTATTATTTAATCGGATATTTATCCTAAATATACAATGGACTTCCTGATATGTCTATCGGTTATACAGGGGATATCCCGTACATATACATCAATTGAAATGTGGATATCCATTGGACTTTGAAAGACATCCGAATGAATTTATTCAGATATCCAATGGATACCATTTTCCAGCACAGTGCAGTGAGTCTTTTTCTCACAGATCATTAGCAAGGCATTTACTTTCAATTTATTCAAAAAAAAAAGTTGGAATACCCATTAGATGCATTCGAAAAATGAATCAGTAAAATATATTATTCTGAAACAATCATAAAAAGTCGGTGGATTTTATGATTTTCTCTATTTTAACTTTGAAATCGTTATATTCCTCTTCCACTACGAGTCATTTCAGTGTTTGAATAGTTATCGAAAATTCCATATGATTAGCGTGAATCCCTGTGAATTATTCAGCTCAATTCAGAAAGCTAATGGATAACAGACGACTAAGTTCGAAAAGATGTGTCAGGACCAAACGAAATATTTGGGAAAAAAATTGAAGAGTTCATAAAAAATGGTGATGATTCAAAAACAATAAAATTTATCAACAATAAACCAACCATAGTAAACAAAAATATAAGTTCACAACAAAAAAACCGATAAAGGACCCTTATATCCACCTCTTTAGTGATATCATATACATGAACGCCCAAAGTTTTCTGCATAAAATTGACCAAATTCAAATAAGCATTTTATATTACTTTCCAAAAATAATTCTAGTTAGTGAGACTAGAATAACTTCTGAAATTGAAGATTCAGAGATCAAACTGGATGATTATAGTCACATTCGATGTGATTCTACAAATCGGCAAACCGGTGGTGTTGTGATTTGTGTGAAGGATGGTATACAGTGTTCAACAAAGAAGACTTACATTTCAAAAGACAATTACTGGTGTAAGGTCATAAGAGAAAATTTTGGTGTGTGTCAATGGTTAGTGGGTTGTCTTTATCATTCTCCATCTAGCTCGGATTCTATATTCATAGAAAACCTGGAAAATATCTTTGATGATATCTTTGTCAATGATAAGCGTTGCATTCTTGTAGGAGAATTTAATTTAGATTTCTTGAATAACAGTTTTTATGTGAAAAAAATCAAATCTATGTTTTTGCAATATGGAATTGATCAACTAGTACTGGATCCTACCAGAATTACTAATAACAGTGA